GCACTAGAGGAAAAGTACTTACAAATCTGGTGCCGTGACTCAGATCGTTGGAGAGTTTAATCTCCCAAAAGCCACCCCTGGTTTGAGCTTCCCCTGGCCACAGGCCACCTTTCCTCTCTCTCTGTCTGCCCCTCCCTCCCTCTCCCTCTCCTCACTCCTTCTCCCCTCTCTCTGTCTCCCTCTCCTTCTCCTCTTTCCCATCTCCCTCCCTTTCTCCTTCTCTCTCTGTCTGCCCCTCCCTCCCTCTCCCTCTCCTCACTCCTTCTCCCCTCTCTCTGTCTCCCTCTCCTTCTCCTCTTTCCCATCTCCCTCCCTTTCTCCTTCTCTCTCTGTCTGCCCCTCCCCCCTGCCATTGCCAGCCTTTATCCAACACCAATCCACCTAGCTTCTCACAGGTGTGTCTCTTCTCATTCTGGAAGTTCCTGCCTTGTTTTCTCAGTCTCTGTTATTTTTTTTTTTTTTAGATGAACTCATTTATTTGACACATTAAATTATGCAAAGAAAAATATTTGCAACTGCATAAAAAGAATCACATTCTCATACTACATACTACTCAACCACCCAGCGCCGATCGTCCACCTGATCGCAGTGGTAAAAAACAATGAACTGTAGAGTGGACTCCAGGACTTAATAATGCAAAAGCACTGTACAGAAAAATTTCAGGCTTCTAATTTCACTGAGTCCAAAACTACACGCGCTTCTTTATATTACTCACGTCTTCCAAATCTTTTTCGCTTTCTAATATCTGCTGAAGGTCCGTACAAGCTGCCTCTAACCTGCGCTGGCAGTCTGGGATCATCATCTGGGCCTCTTGCAGGATCTCTGCCTGCTTTTAATGGCATAATTTTTACCATCTTCAGCTTTCATTTTTTCCATCTTTTCTTCTTGTTGTTCTGCTTCTTTTTCATACATCACTTTTTCTTTGACTAATCGCTTCACCACGCCGGTCTTAATCTTGATCCGCCTCACACGGGGATCGGCCATTGCGCCTGGACTCTCAGTCTCTGGTTTTCGATCTTGAAAATCAAGGGCCGCCTTCAAGACTTCCCGCGTCCCAGGTCATTCTTCAGACCTCATAGAGATATACCTCTGTCCTCTGGGTGACAGTCCCCCAGACTGATGGATAGTTCGCACTCTATCACACTCAACAGAGAGTGCCGACTGATTTTGGAGTTGCGCGCTGGCTTCGGCCTCTTGGCTCACCTTCAATGGGAAATATTCTTCCCAAACCCCAAAACACATTCTGCTCAGATGTCACAGCCTAAATCTCCG